CTTAGTATACTTCTCTAAAGTACTATATTACTAACTATATTATTCTAGTTAGCTATATTATTAATATATACTAGGTTATAATATAATCTAGGTACTATATTTTATAAGGCTTAGTGTTATTTCTCTATAAGTATAATATATATATCTAGGGAGTTATATTCTCTAGGTTTATAAAAGAATTACTAAAGTTAAAAAGTAAAGTTATTATAGAACCTTATTAGCTATTAGTACTAGGTTTAGTTACCTTATGCCTTAGTATATTTAAAGTAAGATTAGGTAAAGGTATAAATATTATCCTACTTATTAACTTTCTTAATAGTAAAGTAGTTCTCCTTAAACTACTTCTCTATATTAATAAGGGATAAGCTAAAGTGTTCTTTAAGATATCTAGTAATATTTAACTACCTTTATTACTTTAGCTAGTGTTATTCTTTAGTTATAAGTTAAAATTCTTACTAGTTATATACTTAACTATAGAGATATTATTAAACTATTTAACTAAAATACTATAAGGATAGTTTATTTATATATACTACTTTAACTACTTAAATCTATAACTTTACCTTATAGTAATATATTATATAGTAGTTATAAAAGATAAGGTTAAGTAAATAATATTTAGTGTTTATATTTAACTAAAATATCCTAACTATTATTACTAGGTGTATTTAGGCTAATATATAACCTAGGCTAATTATAGAACCTAATAAGGTCTTAGCTTACTATTTCTAGGTTACTATAGTATAAAAAAAGGCTACTATAAACTTATTTATATCTATTAGTAGTATTAGGCCTATAATAAAAAGTATTATTAAGGCTAGTGCTTATCTTTACTATATAAGGTTAATTACTAGTTAACTTAAAGGTAGTAGTCCTTATAAGGCTTAAGCCTATTTAACTATTAAGTCTAATAGTGTTAAGTATATAAAAGAGTAAGTAGTACTTAGTAGTCTACTTAAGTAGTTCCTCTATAAGAATAAGTATACTACTAGTAGTTCTTAGGCTATAAGTAGTATATATATTATTTACTTTAATAGTAAAGGTTATTAATATACTTTATAAAATAAGTAAAAGGCTTATATTATCTAGGCCTATATAGGCTAAAACCTTAGTAGGTCTAGGCTATATAAGTAGCTACTTACACTAGCTAAGAATTAACCTAGTATAAAGTATAAGTGTTATTAAAGATAGACTAGTAGTCTACTTTTTTTAGTAAAATCTACTAGTAGGCTAGTATAGAAGCCTAGTAGGCCTATAATTTCTAGTCTTTTACTTTTTAGTAATTACTATAATATTACTATACTTTTTATTTACTTTAGTAATATACTATCTAGTAAAATATTTTTACTTTAAGTAAAGGCCTTACTTATTATAATATCTTTATTTAAGTTAGTTTATTAAAGAGGGATTTTTTAAGAAGTATCTAGTACTTATTTAGTTATATATTTTTCTAGTATAACTAGGTTTTTTAATAACTAAAAGGTTTATAAGTTAATATAAGATAATAAGATATCTATAGCTTCTATATAAAGCTATATATATAGGTCTAAATACTTTCTTGTATTTTTAATAATTCTTTTTACTATCTAGATATTTAATTTTATCTAATATAGATTAACTATATTACTATTATCTAGTTTAAACTTTTTCTACTAGTTTATTATTCTATAGAATAGCTTATTATTATTAAATTTTATAAATATAAAAGTATATATATTATTATAAAGGCTCTATAGTAGAGAATAAGTAACTTTATAGTTTAGATTTTACTAAAGCTATATATATATATATACTATATATTAGTAATTTAGCCTAGTTATACTAGCCTTAGTATACTATTTCTATAAGTTAATTCTTATTAAAGTAAAGAGGTATTTTTACTATATCTTAGTAAAAAAAAATTTAAAGGTGTAGATTAAGGTAGTTATACTACTACTTAATATAGCCTTTTTACTAACGTATATATATAGTAAGTAGTATATTATAGTAAGTAGTATATATCTACCTACCTTTCTATCTTTTTAATAACTTAATTTAACTAGATTATATAAAATTAATTAAAAATATATATTACCTTATTCTTTATTAGTATCCTAAACTACCTTATAGGTTTATATATTATATCTAGTCTTCCTGTAATTACTATATTATTATGCAAGTAGTTTACTACTCTCTGTATAACCCCCCTTTTAGGATATTTCCTTACCTCTAGCTTTAATAATGTCCTTTTCTCCTTGTAGTGCCTCTACTTTAGCTGTATTAAGTGATCCTCTAAGACATAGTTAGGTCTTTTTAGTCCTTTAGCGCTTACTAAGTACCTTTATTCTTATATAAAGTTAATAGTTCTCTGCCTTAATAATAGTAAGTTAATATACTAACTTACTAATACCCTTTAACTATAAGTTAATTACCTTATATATTAGTGTTAGTAAACTTCCTTAATAGTCCTTAATCTTTTTTTTTAATAAGGTAAAGCTTTATATACCTTTAATTACTATTATTAGTGTCTTTAGGTCCTATAAGCCTAAGCTAGTTAGATATAAGTTAACTAGTGTTAGTGTCTTTAGCTTAAAATCTAGGCAAGAAATAATAACTTTAGGATTAAAAGGTATAAGACTAGCCTATTAAAAACCTACTTATATATTTATTTCTCCTATTAAAGTAAAGAATACTACTTTAAAGGCAAAAAAGAAGTTATCCTTAGTAATATATATAATTTATATCTATATTATTTTCTTAATTTTTTTACTATATAAGTGCTTTAAAGGGCTAAAATAGCTAATATTAAGAGGCTAAAGCTTATATAATAAATAGGGAGGTATATATAAAGTAATAATACCTTCTTCCTTATAGTAGTTATTAAATTTAGTTAATTTATAGCTATTATAGCTATCTAGGATTAGAAGGTAATAAGTACCCTTTATATAAGACTTTATACACTAATTAAAGTGCTTTAGCTAATCTAGGCTAATCTTGTTTATAGTTTATCTATTTTTACTTAGGTAAATACACTATATAGCTAGAAATTTACTATTAAAGTACTATAATAGAAGGTAATATTTACCTTTTATAATAATATATAGAGGTATTACCTAGCTATCTATATATATACCTTAAATAATAGAAACCTATTTATAATTACTAGGCTACTTTATATAAGGTCTTCTATGTTAGTTAAAAGTTATAATAACCTTTATATATAATAGTATTCTTATTAGGAACCTAGTCTTATTAAAATTATAGATATTATAATCCTATATCTTATACTTTATAATTATATTTTATATAAGTGTAAACTAGCCTTATATAATTATAGGATCCTTAGCTAAGGCCCTCTAATAGTTAATCTAATATTAAAATTGTATTTTTAATTAGGGTTATTATTATATAAAGTTCTCTACTTATTAGGGTCTAATATATATCTTATTATATATATTAAGGAGTTAATTAGCTATATCTTATATATCTTCTTGTTATAGAGGAAATCCTTAATTAATTAGGTTAATAACCCTTTTAAGAATTACCTTCTCTTTAGATATAGTTATCTTTATTAATTTTAAATATATCTTAGCTTATATAACTTTTCTAGTGCGTTAATAATAAAGTGTAGTTTTAGGTACATTATAGATAGAGGCTGCCTTTTGTATAGATAGATTTTAGTCTTTTTAGATAGCTATAATTGCAAAGATAATTTAGCTTTCTTAAGAAGAGGATTCTATTATTGTACATAGAGAAAGGTTAATGTAAGGATAAAGCTAGTAGAAATAAGGTGGATGTGTGCTACTTACTATAATGTGCTACTTACTATGTATATACGTTAGCTATTATAGATTTAATAGAAGAAGTAAGGCTATAATAAGTAATATAAAGTAATATAGTATAAAGGTAAAGTATAATAGTAAAGTAGTAAAATAAGGCAAGTAATAATAAAAAGCTAAATAAATAATATAGGATAAAGCTAAGTATAAGTATAGGTTATCTATTAAGGTTACTCTTCTTTATAAGAGAAAATAGGTAATAGAATATATACCCCTAGGTATATACCTAGATATATACTAACAAGGTAATCCTATGTCCTACCTACCTATCTACTATATAAGGCACTTGTCCTATAACATTTTCTTACTAAAAACAGCTAAAAACAGCTATCTATATCTTAGTAAGTATAAGACCTATTACTTTAGTTTTCTCTATATAGAGTCTATAAGTACTTCTTAGTCTATATATTTAAAAACCTTTTTAATTATCTAATCAATAGCTTTAAATTACTATTATAAAGTTCTTTTATAGTAAGTTTAATACTAGAAAATATAGCTAATATAAAGAAGATAAAAATAAGTAAAAATATTACTTAACTCTCTTAAGTACTAAAAATCTAGAATATTTAAAGCTTTATTTTTTAAGTATTTTCTTTAACTATAAATATAGTATAATAGTATTTTACTAAGAAATTTTAACTAGTATAACTTAAAATTATTAATATAATATAAGTCTTTTATAATTTAGCTTTATAGTTTTTTTTATAAGAGTATAAAAGATATAAATAGTATAAAACTTCTTAGTATACTATTTTTAGCTTATAAGTTATAAAGTTATATAAGCTTTTAAAAAGTTAAGATTTACTATTAAAATACTAGTAAACCTTAACAGCTAGGTACTTAGTCTTATTACTAGAGATTTACTAAAAGAAATTAGTAAAAACTTTTTTTATAGCTTCTTATATATACTATCTACCTTATATAGAAGTTATAGAGCTTTTTATCTTTTATTAGTGTAGATATAGATAGCTGTTTTTAGCTGTTTTTGGTGAGAAAAGGCGGGCTATATAGGTAGGGGGGCCATAAGTAGGTGCTTTGACTTAGAAGTCCTATAATAGGATAAAGAGCACCTAGGGGAGACCTAGCTATTCACTAGGGACTATGTAACTATAACTAGAACATATATTATTAACTAACATAAACATACTATCTTCTATATAGGTCAACAGGTGATTATCTATCTCACCAACTAAAGGCATCTACCTCTAACTCAAATATAACCTTAACCCGCTTTCCAACCCTAACCACGGCCATCCGAGTATCGTCACAAAGGCCAGCAGGTCCGCAGACGACGACGCCAACCTTCTTCCATCCCGCTTCGACCTCTCGTACTAGGAGCGCCTCAATATCAAGCCGTTGGCCGACCAACACGACCTTGTCGGGTATGTTGTCCAGCGCGGGTTCGAGGTCCTGCAAAAGGGCGCAGGATGTCTCCCGGAGGCTCCAACATAGCTTGACATTGACGTGCGCGCGGGTCCAGGTAAGGAGGCCGGTGATGCCAATGCCGCCACCAACTAGTAGCACGCGGTCACACTTGAGCACATCCCGGCTCAGGTTGCCCCAGTACGGGCCGTCGAGCAGCACCGGCAGGCCGACGCGCTCCTGAAGAAAGCTCGTCATGCCCCGATGCTTTTTGATGTAGATGGAGATGCCATCGGTGCCCGCCAAGCTCGGGGCTACCACAACGACTTTTGGACTCTTATTCGTCTCGGCGTCGCCCGAATGCGACGATGTCTGCGCCGAGGCGAGAGAGTGCTTCCGTGGACGTAGCAGAGCCGTCTGGATGATGGAGAAGGGGTGGTTCTCCCAGGGACGCAGGGGCTGCAACGTGGGGAAATAGACGTAGGCATGATAGCCCGGCTCGGCCGACCACCTCAAGCCGTGGATGTCGACGCGCACGATATCGGCGGACAGCTCAGCCACATCGGCGCGACGGACACCATTCTTAGCCAGGCGCAGCACGCGCACGAGGCGGTCGAAGAACCACACGGCGCACACCATGTATAGCCACAGCTCGTACACGCCGGTGAGACCTTTCCAGTAGTAGACGTGGTACCAGCAGCCGGCGACGGTGAAGACGGCCAGGAGGATGTGCAGGACGAGGAAGACCTCGTAGGAAGCGCGGCGGAACCAGACGACGCTCTGGAACAACAGGATGACAAGGCAGAGCGTCGCGACGATTCCCCAGATCCAGTATGGCTTGTGGACGTCGGTATAGTAGGTGCCGGTGCTGGTGTAACTCAAATACCCTGCGTATGCACCACCCCCACATTTGCACCACTCCAAAACAGTGGATTCCCACCAAAATACACTATGTTTTCTAGCCTTAGGAATCTACTATAGTTAAGCTATAAAATTTAAGAAAAAAATCTTATAAAATACTTTAGTTCTATTAGTATTTTCTTATATATATATACTATTTTTAGACCTTTATATAACTAAGTACTAGTAGTAAATACTTAAGGATTCTTTTTTACTAAGAAAATCTTAGTATTTTCTAAAACTCTAGAAATCTTAATAAATACTTATATAGTAAAGCTAAAAATCTATAAAAAATAGTATAAGCTTTATTATAGCTTATATATATATAAGAGTACTATATATAGTATATATAGCTACTATATATAAATTTACTTACTTTTTATATAAAGTATAAAACTAAAAAAATATAATTTTTAGAATATCTAGCTATATATAAGAGATAAATTTTTTTTTACTTATACTATATACTATAGTACTAATATACTACTTAGTATATAGAAGGTTTACTATACTATATAATAATAGAACTATAATACTAAGTTAAAGTAGTAATAGTTATACTTTACTTTTAAAAAATCTTTTAATAATAATATTATAAGTTATATAACTTAAGATATATATTATACTATACTACTTTTTAAGTAGATTCTTATAATATACTTTACTAACTTATATTTATAGTATATAATATAAAAACCTAGTAAATACTTAAAAGTATAGTAGTTTTATTATAATACTAAAGCTATTATTATATATATAGACTATTATTTAGTCTTTATAAGCTTAGTAATATACTTTTATAGTAATATAATTACTTTAGTATTTTACTATATTTTTATATAGTTTTTTAGTTACTTATACTAATTTATATTTTATTTTTTAATAAATACTTTTATTTTAAGAATTAACTTTATTTATTACTTATATAAAAAGCTTAGTAAGCTAAAAAAAGTTCTAAAAAAATCTTTTTACTTTATATTATGCTATATATAAGTTGTTTACCTATAGGCCTAGTAATATAGGTAGTAAAAGTAGGAAGAAAGTGGTAGTGCTAGTGGTGCAGATGTGGGGGTGGTGCATACGCAGGGTATTTGAGTTAAGTCGCCAGAAGGGTGATGGAGTGGACAATGGCATGGGCGGCGCAGAGGCGGGCAACCCAGCGGTGCAGGACCAAAAAGGTAGAAAAGGGCCAGTCCGTGAGCCATATTAGCACGTTGTTGCGGGACGAGAACAAGACAGTCAGGGGGAGCAGCGCGAAGGAGATGTGACCGGTGCGGTAGCCGACATAGGCCAGAATCTCGGCCGTCTTGGTGAAGCCCCACGGATGGACGTACTGGAAGTTCCTGTACGTGATGGCGCCGAGGACGATGTTCAGGGTTACAAACATGGCGATCCAGAGTCCTTGGCCTGCGGTTGGGGGGTTCCCGAGCAGGTGGGGGAGAGGACGAATGTTGTACCCGCCGATCGGGTATACGAGATACGGCTTGAGCCTGTCGATTGCGCCAGTCATGAAGGGAAGATATTTCAGGGCGGAGAGCATGATCGGCGATCCTACGCCCACACAGATGATGACGATTCTAGACGGTAATATAACCACGATCAGCACACACACGACAGATGCGTCGACGGCGGCGACTTTTTAACTCGAGGGTGAACTTGACTGACACGTAAGTGGACTGAACGGCCTCCTCCCAATCGAAGAAGCGGTCGAAGTCGTACTGGTACTGGTAGTCGGCGGCTGAGATGAAGGCCGTGTAGTTGAGGGTGTCGCCCGTCTCAAAGGTCCGGTTGGGCGGGAGCGTGATGTTGGCCAGCACGGCGCCGTAGGTCCAGTGAGGAGGAACGGTGGGGTCGCCGGTGGCCTGGTCGGCCCAGTAGGCCTCGAGCTTGGAGGCCGAGACGCCGTCAGCGACGCAGCGTTCGCCCATGCAGTAGGCCAGGGTGGACAGAAAGTCGACGTTGTCGGCGATGCACGGCGCCATGGGCGAGGCCTTGTGCATGTCCATGCCCGTCATGCCGCCGGCGTCTGTATCCGGGCAGTCCAGCGGCGCGGATCCGATGACTGCCCGGCACGCATATGCGCAACGCGGGTCGTACCAGGATTGGCCACAGCCCATCAGCCCCGTCTTGTGGCCGGCCACAGTGGGCGCGAGCAGCAGCAGCAGCGTACCGGCGAGCGACGGGACAAATAGACTTACCTTGGCCATGGTGGGTTTGGCTGCGTTTGTTCTTCTCGAGGGTCAAGGCAAAGGTAGTGATAACTAACAGCAGTTAATGCAACAGCAAGTGCTCTCTGGATAAGACAGGGGGGTAGGGCCTTATAAAGTCCTGCACCACATCCTGTCCAAGAAAAGGTCTAATACTCGTGGGGCCAGGCCAATACCAATTGCATACCATGAGATAAAGGGGGCGGGTGCATTGTGTTGCGCTGCGTGTGTGTGTTTGTGAGCGAGTGAGCGAGTAACGACCGTAATAGTTGATACTTCTAAACCTAGACAGGCCTAACCTTTTAGATACTGGACGAGATAGGTATAGAAAAGAACTACAGAGTATTACATAGTACATGCGCAAAACTGCTCACTGCGTGACCGCTCCCACCCCATCCTTAATCATAGGCTGGTTAACTGGTTAGTTGTCTTTAGGGGGTGTTGTTTGGTACCTGTATGTCTCACATTATCTATGGCAGAATGCCACATTTGAGAGATACCTTACACGTTTAAACTTGCGCAAAACAGCTCACACAAGCTGCCCCATGAGCGGCATATGCATTAGTGTGGCTGCTGTTTTTACCACGGATCCCGATTTCATTACTTTTCCAACCCACACTCAGCTGCCTTCATATTAGCCGGGGCATTTTCTTTGTGAAATCGCCTCACTAATGCCCGGCTCGCAACCATGGCGCATTCCTGTCCCCAGAACATCCGCAACCCTCAATCATGAAGGTAATCATCGTTGGTGCTGGCGTGGCAGGGCTATCCGCCTATCTGCAGCTCAAGAAGCTGCTACCCAGGTCTATACTGGAGGACATACTGGTTTTCGTCGTTTCGAGTCACACCGGGGCAAGGCGAACCAACATCGGGTGCCGGAAACCGAGCCCGCCGCACTCACCGACTCCGCCACAGTAGTAGGCAAAATCATCGCGCTGACCCCGACGGCGTTGCGACTTTTGCGCTACATTGACGAGGGCCTATACGATCTGTTCCAATCCATAGGCTACCAGAATGAGACTTATCGCTTTCGAACCGCGCGAGGCCATCCTCTCGCCACAACAGCCACCGAAGACGGCCGGGGCCCGCGTGAACACACCGTGTCGTGCCCGCGGGCCATGCTGCGAGATTGTCTCTTGGAAATCGTCGGAGAACACAACGTACAGTACCGCGAGGTGGTTGCTGTACATCTGAGCGGCGGTACTAGGCCCATCGTCCGCTTCGCCGACGGTCGAGAGGAGAGCGCCGACCTGGTGCTTGGCGCCGATGGCGTACGAAGCGTTGTGAAAAAGGCCATCTTTGAGCCGGCTGAAGATGCTACTCTTTTGTCACCACATTACGAGTAAGTCTCCTCCATCTCCGTCGCACCGGTCCGTTGATGCTGACGTCTGTCGGCAAACGACAGGAGATTCTGCGGCGTCGGCGGGTTTCTTCCGGTACGCGACCTCCCGGCTTCGGTTCGACATGATAAGAGCATCGTATTCACCTTTTGTATATTACTAATAGATAGACTATCGTAATATGGGCTTTGTATATTACTAATAGATAGACTATCGTAATATGGGCCATAATTACGCAGTGGCAATGACAGATCCACTTTTATTATCACAGTTATAAGCCTACTCTACTCTGGACCTCTGTGTGCCTTAATAGTATACGCATAGGCTATATTAGAGACCCCTATAACTCTAAGGGGCCTAGATTTAAGCACTATTCAGGGCAGTTAAAAACACTACCTATACTTTGGCAAGATGTACCTAATTAGAAGGTTATTAAGAGTGTTCTATATTACTAGCCTTCTAATAGACATATTAAAAACCTAGGGGGGTATATTGTGATATAGGCCGTAATTACGTAGTGGCATTTACGGATCTGCTTTTGTCATTCCATAGACCTATAGAGAAAAGTGTATTTCTAGCTAGAATATGTATTATATGTAGTTTTATAATAGAACAACAACTTCTCTTCTTAACAATTAGACACTGTGGTTTATCACACGAGGTCTTATTAATATATACTGCAGATAGTTTACTGTGTACATCATGTAACTAAGAGCTTGTACTCTAGTGTTCCCAATCAAACGTACTCTATATCCTCACAGCCTAACACTCTCCACCCTTCTATTCTTAACAGCACAGAGTGCACTGTCCCCACAAGCTTAGTTAGCTTCAGGAAATCTTATTAGCAACCCTAGCATTTCTTTTCAAAGCGGAATAATGAATTTACCTACATAACTTGCTGTCAAAGGTGAGGAGACAACCCTTGGTGTTGGACGCCTAGGTGCCGTAGAAACGCTGCATGTTCAACTCCTCCTCGGTGAGGTCAGCTGCCTCGACACCAGCGGCAGGCCAGCTGACCTTCCAGGGCTGAGTCTTTTCATCAATTATAAAGATACGACCCTTGGTGTTGGACGCATGAGCGCCGTAGGAACGCTGCATGTCGAGCTCCTCTGGAGTCAACTCGACTGCGTTGGCTGAGAGTTCGCGGGGGAACGCCTTCCAGGGCTAGATCTTGGTAATATTAGACATGCCGAGAATCAAAAAAGGTCAGATGATGTAAGGAAGAACAAGGCGAGGTAATGAGGTACTTAATCGTTGGTTGAATAGAGTCAGAATTGAGGAGAAACTGCGGTTAGTTATGTAGTTGTCGATTTTGTCACTTCATACAAGCCGTCCGAGCCGTACACGGCATAGGTCTCTACCTTAATTCTCTGGTAGATAGGATATTGTCTTGAGGATCGGTGCATGCTGCCATACTCTGAACTGGGCCTCCTGGGTAACCTGCTTGTTGACGTACGCGTCGTACACCTCGCGGACGGACTCATCAAGCGCCTCGCGGCATTGGTCGAGCGTTGTTGATGTTCCCTGTTATCTGACCAATCAACTTATATTAGAAGTGCAATCTGTACGGTTGCTACCTGAAAACCATATGTTCTCAGATATAGAGAGCTGGGGTGAGACATCTACAGTGGCTAGCTGAGAAAAAATATGTTCTTAGATATAGAGAGCTGAGGCAAGACATCTACAGTCGCTTCACTTAAATGCCAGCCTGCACTAACTACGATATTACTATAGACACAACGTCTACAAGGGAAATGCGATGTGTGCGATGTAGAGAGCTAGACTTAGACCCTGTACTAGGTAGAATGTGGATTACCTAGTATTTGGACCTTCTACCCTCAGTAATCCTACAATAGAGGTGATTGACGTGAAACTTCTCGTTTGCTATTTCACGAGAGACTCAATATGCGCCCCATTCTGTTCGCAGAACGTATAACTGATGTCGATCCTAGCCACAGACTGTCCACTGGCCTGTATCCAAGACATTGTCTCGATCCTCTGCCACACAGGAATCTGTTCCATGTTCTGTGTCATGCTCTCCTCCCCAAAGCCACCCTCTTCAATCTCGATTACCCGCTCAACTACCTTGGCAGCAGATATGCTATCCCAAACTGCCTCACGCATCGGCTGCTGTCGTAAGATGTTCAACACCTTGCGTCGTACCACGGGGTGCCGGCACTTGACTCCAATCATGTAAAGCACAGGGATAATTCCGACCTCAGGCGTAAAGGTAGGCTTTAGCGACCCCGAATACCGCACATGCGCCGCGGCTACCTCGCCCGCCAAAGTCACGCATTGCTGGAACTGGGGCAGAAAGTTGTCATAGTCCATTTCCCTGCCAGTTCCAGAAACTTGAAGGAGAGTCCATGCGATAGTATGCTGTAGACGTAGCAGTGATATGAGCGGATAAGTTTCGGAATCCATCTCATTAGAATTGCCTTGTTGCTGCATGTATTCGAAGAAAATTGACCATGTTTCCAACTGCCCGCGCAAAATATTTTTAGCTACTGAAGGTGACGGCCGCATCTTACCAATAGGGGGTATTTGCTGCTCCGTATTGCGCAGCATCAATACCCGAGCAACGATGCTAGTCATATGGTCAGCGGCTTGGTCCAGAGACCGAAAAGGACTGTCGGATGGTGGGTGCTGGGATGCGAGTGTGTCTTGGATATCGGCGGGAGTCCAGTCGACAAGAAAGGTCACAGCCTGCATGTCGAGGCGGCGGATCTGTCTTGTGACTTGGTATATGAGTGTACGAATCCCTGAGGTATCGTAATTGTCATATGTGTTGTTCTTGTTGTTGCTTAACATAGCCCTGTCGATGTTGCGTGAGAGCTCCACGCCTCCGCGCAGATGCTTCATTGCTTGTACGTAGTTTCCCGCCAGATGATCAAAGCAAGTGAGGAGATAGCAGACCAAAAGCGTGACGGCTGTTGTTTCATCCTTGTCGCCACTTTGCTGGTTCAGAAGAAGTTGGATGGCACGATTGTAGTGAAGCAAGGGAGCGCTATCCGATAGCCGGTTTTCCAAGAACTGTGGTTGATACCCACGGTCGGTAGTATCGCGATCCAGGTAGTTCCGGTGGATCAAAGCCAGAGCAGTGGCGGCACACCGCACTGATGGCACTGTTTGGGAGAAGAACATGAGAGTCCTCCGCCATGATTCGCAAGGGTGGTATTCGTTCAGATGCTTGATCGAGATAAACTCGAAAAAACGCATTACCTCTCTCTGAGCTGACCCAGTCATCGGTAAGATCATAAAGGGTCCAAGGTTCTGCGGAATGACGCGGTGGTATGTCGCATGCCATTGCTCTGGCTGATACGCACTGATCATGTTACAAGGGCGATGACTCTCGATGCCTTCTGCTCTACTGGCCTTCTCGTTGTGATTATGTCTAAATTCAATTTCAGGTTTGGAGGCCAGGGGAGTTCCGCTATAGCCGTCACAAGTGCGACCTGTGGAATGGCATTTCAAGCATGAAGGCCGAGATAGATCGCACTTTACTCGTCTTATCCTGAAATGTGCACCGAGGTTACTTGTAAGCATTTGAGTGTTTGAACGTAACTGATTGCGCTGTAACAGCACACGGAGGCAAATCTCACTTGCAAGTCTTACAGCCTAGTCTTGACTTTGGAGCGAACTTTCGAGGCTTTCTTCGCCAAGCTTGATTGGCTGCCTTGGCGTCCTCTCTCTGAACGTCGTCCATCTTGTCAATTGAAATATTGGTTGGCCGAGATTTGCAGTACGTGCCATGATCAGCTGAAAAAGAGACCGGGCCCATTACGACACACAAGCCGCCAGCTGCAAGCGGCAATGTGTTATAGAAGAAAAGTATATCAGGTGCCGAACGAATTTCAAGAGTATCGTGTTCACGTCGGCTCATATGCCAGCGGGGAAGGGAGTAGCTTAAACATAAACCAACCAGGATAAATCCCAATAGATATTAGTGCTTACTGTGATCAATATCGATTGGCTATTCCCTACAAGTGGGACCTCAACAGGGGATGGCTCAGACATACTTACGTATACCAGTCGAGGATCATTCTGATAGCTCTGATTGATTGGGTAGGTCGTACAAGCGGGTCTCCTTGGCTGATGCCTATGGCGCTATACAGCTGACCTGACCTACCCCCCCTTGCCTGACCTGACCTAGGCCCACTTCTAAAACTTACCTGAGGTTTTGCCGTTGATGGAGGGTAGGTCAGGTTAGTTTGCAAATGTGGGTCTGGGCCCATATATTGATGTAGGCAGAGTACTTTACTATAATCCTTAACATTATTTACTAGAATAAACTTTATTTCCTATTTATATAATATCTAAGAACACTAAATAGTATATTCCTAGATTATTCCTAGGTTATTTCTTAGTTATTCCTTGCTTTATCTATAACTTAATAAATAAATCTCTACTTTAACTATTTAAGGACTTTATTTACTGTTTAGGGCTTAATTATAAGCTATAGTCACTAATTTAGGAGCACCTAAAGTATTTACTAGGATTAATTTAAGACTAATCTAAGACTATTCTAGGATTACTTATAGAGTATACTACTATATTAGCTAATAATATTGCCCTACGCCTAAATTAGCTTATCTTTAGTATTAAAATAGCTATTTAATAGGACTCTAATTACTAATATACTACCTATAGCCTAAGTGTACCTTAATCCCCTGTAGTATATAACCCCTAGAGTCCTACACTAGTTAAATAACTAGTAGCTATTACTAAAGAGTATTAAATACCTTTTAATATTAAGAGCTAATAGATTATTATTTCCCTTAGTTAGGTATATAGACCTTTAAGAAAAGGCTAGTAAAGTATTAAAAGCTAAATATAGTATAAAATAGGTAGCCTATAGCTAAGGAGAATTATATTTAACCTTACTTATAGTAGATAAAGTTTATTAGACCTTTAATATCCTAGAGTACTCTTAGTCTTTTACTTAAGGATACCTTTATATTATTTTTACTTATAGCCTTACTAAAGACAAGATTAGACACCTATAGAATAAGGTATATATATTAATTAATCTATATATAATTATTAAACTTATAATAATATCCTAGGTTTAATATATAAGTGCTTTAAAATAGAAGTCTCTAAATATATAATATATATTCCTTAAGGTCTTAGATTACTATAGGGAGGTACAAGTGTACATAGGGTGTAAGGTATACAAGTACCTTAGGGATAACTTCTCTTAGCTATATAGTATTATCCTAGATAATATCTAGGACTAAATAGCTAAACTTTAAGATAAAACACTTACGTATTCCCTAAGGGATAAGGCTATTATCTAGGCTTATTTAGTCTATAAAAGGTTTATATTAAGTATAATAACTATATATAAAGAGTGTAATAATACTTATAAAGTATAGTAGGTTATAACACCTTTAGAGGTATATTCTTTATTTCTTTTTTTACTATATTAGCTAATTAAAGTAGGGCTTTAAACCTTAGATCTAGTACTAAGTTAGATACTATAACTAGTAGTAGACAATTCTATAAAATAATAGTTATATAATTATACTTGTTCCTTTTAAATATAGTAGTTATATAACTATTATTTAATAGATTATCTAGGATCTAATATTTACTTATAAAGAAGACTTAAAAGGCTGTTAGGTATAAGACTATAACTGCTATAGAAGGACTAAGTGTAGTAAAAGATTCTTATTTATTATTAATTAATCTTTATTTAAACTAAGATTACTCTAGGAGTTAACTATTAATAAAGCTAAAGGTAAATAAGGCTAATAGAATATAGCGTTAAGTTCTATTACTTTATCTTAAAAAATATAGACAAATGCCTATAGATTCTCCTCTTATCCTAAGGGCTTTATTTATACCTACCTCTGCTACCTAAGAAAATACTATTTAAGATCTTAGATATATTGTAGAAGGTAATCTAAGTAGTAAATAACCTTACTTAGACTCTTAGTTTATTCTTAGAATACTCCCTTATATAGTATATACTAATGTCTCTAGATAAGTTCTTAAGTAGCCCCTATTACTAAGCCCTCTACTAATAATATAATACCTAAAGCCTTCCTAAAATCTACCTTAGCCTATTAAACTAAGATTAAATTACTATACTTATTTATAGATAGAATCTTCTATACTTCCCCTAGGGCTTATCTATTCTTAGCCTTTAATATAAGTAGGATAAGGTACTTTAGTCTTCTAGAGATAAGTAGGTAATTAATCCTAGAGTAATTACTAATAATACTTAGCACTAACTAAGATTAATACTAGTATCTTTAGTTTTTTTATTAATTACCTTTTACGTAGATAGTAATTAGCTTCTAGGCAGGGTAAGCTAAAATCTAGAAAGATATTATAACCTTCTAGATTAATATAAACTATAAACACCTTTCTAGGTAAGCTAAAAAGGAGATTATTATTAGTTATTATTTCTCTTGTCTTAAGTAAAGTAAGTATAATTATAGAAGGATCTAAGAGTATATATTAATAAGGTAATAGGTGTTATACTTGCCTATAGACTTATAAACTTAGAGACCTCTAAAACCTACTATTTCTTCTTTAAGTATCTATTTAAAACCCTTTAAGTTTAATATAGGATTATATACGCTTAGCTATATCTTAGCTAATACTAAATTATAACACTAGTAGCTAGTATAAAAATATATAGTATTACTATTAATATAGATATAAAGCTCTTAGTAGGTAGGATTAATCTATACTTAATCTTAGCTTATTTACTAACTAATCTAGGTTTTAATATATATTTATAATATAACCTTAATATTCTTTATTAGGGTAGGTGGACTAATACTGCCTCTATAATTTAGTATTATAAAGTCTACTTTTAGTGTAGCGTAGAGTAAATTACTAGTAATATATTAAGTTAGGCACTAGGCTCCCTTTACTTAATAATAATATTACTCCTTACCTATATAAGTATAAGAGAATAGACTTATATTATTTAACGTCTAAGCTATAAGTATTTACTAATCTTCTTATAATTAAGTATTAGTTAATCTTTAGCCTATGTAAATCTATAGGTATATAACTAGGCTTAGTATAAGGACGTAGTTTATATACGTATAGGACTTAATCTAGTCTAGTTTTAAGGCCTAAAGAGCATATAGGATACGTTAACATTCTATATAAACTTTATTAAGGGCCTACACTATTTATCTTACTTCTTTAGTAGACAAAGGAAGCTAGTAATAGTTGTTTAGTAAATATTAGTATAACCTTTATTCTAGGCTACCTTATATTAACCTTATATACTCTAGGTTAAAAGTGTAAGACCTCTATACTTGTCTTAAAGGCAAGGTCTTTAAGACAAAAGGTATATTATATACTTATTAAAAGACATCTTAGTATACTAGAGAAGGAAACTAGATAGTTATTTTAGGTATAATTAGTGCTTATCTAATGTTTAATTATAGTCTAATCTAAGACTATATATAGAGTAGTATAAGCAGAAGTGTATAAGTTAATATAATAAGCTATATAGTAGAGAAGGGGGAAGTATAAGACCTTTACTGCCTTTATTATTAGCTAGGCTCTTATCCTTGCTACCTGTCTTTACTAGCTTATTACTAGTACTAACTATATTAAGTTCTCCTCCTTAGTATAAGTCTAAAATAGTTAACTCTCTATTAGTCTTATTATAAGGTACTCTAAGCAGTAGAAGAAGCTAATAAAGGTATAATATAGTCCTCTCTTAATCTATTTAAAATAGTTAAGTTACTAACTTAAGTAATATCTAAGATAATGTACTTAAAGCTTTATTTACTGACTTTAAGATTAATCTAGAATAGAGGGCTAAAGGTAAAGTGTAATATCTAGTGAGGTATAAGACATAGAAATTTAAGAGCTTTAAAAGGAGCTTTTATAGGAGTAGATTAGACACTAATAACTATAGAACAATAGGCTATTATAGGAGATTAAGAGCTTAAATAGTAAAGCTAGAAATACTATATAGAAAGTCTATAAAGAGAATATAGTTTAAGAACTAATTAATTATTAATTAATCTATAACTAAGCATCTATCTATTGTTTAGTGTAGCCTTATAATAAATATCTATAACGTAGGTAGAAGCTTCTAGAGGACGCTAAGGTTGTTAATTACTTATAGTTAGAGTTACTAGACTTATTATTAAAAGTACTAGATAGCTCTAGGATTAATCTAAGAGTGTTCTAAGGATAATCTAACTCTAGTTTACTAGGGGTTAAGTTGTATATAGCCTAAACAGTATAGTAGTTGTTGCGCTTAGGGGGAGAGTACTCTACTAGACGTTAGTAAGTACTCTTAGATTAATCTTAGAATATATATATAGGCGTTAGTAAACTAATAAATACCTTAACACTTTCTATATACCTTAGCAAGAGGGCATAAAGTATAGGACCTTATCTTATTAAGGTTAACCTAAAATTAATAATTAACTATAGTTTAATTAGAGATTAATCTTACTTACCTTGTTATTTTTAAAAGGAATAGGCTAGTTTTTAATAGCCTCTTTAGCCTACTAATAAAGGGCTATAATAGAATCTAAGAAGTATTTAAGACTAATCTAAGAATAATCTAGGTAAGCCTAATAGACAAGGATAGCTAGATGTTTACTAAAGCTAAAGAGGTAGTAGGTAAAGGGATTAATGTAGTTGTTAAGACTATAATAGTATCTAGTTATATAAAGGGTTTTACCTTAAATATTATTTAAGTTAAAGCTAAGA